GTTGCTGCCAATACGGAGATAAACAAATCTTTCCCTAAGAAGGGCTTTGCATGCTTTTGAATATCAACATGGTTGACCACAGACAGCTAGTACATATTCTCAGGGCTTCATCATTCCCTGAGACGATTTTGGCCTTGGGCGTGGCTGGTACATGATGGGCCCATGCCAGGTCTGTGCTGGAACAGGAGCACACAGTAGGAAGACAGCCTGCAAGAGTCTGTTAGGACCTGGCTTCTGCCATGAAGCAGCTATGTTACCCTGGGCTTACTCAGTGTATTAGTCAGGGTTCTCTAGAGGGACAGAACTAATAGGATAGATGTATATGTGAAGGGAAATGTATTAGGAGAATTGACTCACACGATCACAAGGTGAAGTCCCACAGTAGGCCGTCTGCAAGCTGAGGAGCTGGGAAGCCAAAACCTGGTTTTGTGTCCCCAAAACCTCAAAAGTAGGGAAGCTGACAGTGCAGCCTTCACTCTGTGGCCGAAGGCTTAAGAGTCCCTGACAAATCGCTGATGTAAGTCCAAGAATCCAAAAGCTGAAGAACTTGGTGTCTGATGTTCAAGGGCAGGAAGCATCCCGCACGGGAGAAAGATGGAGGCCAGAAGACTTAACCAGTCTAGGCTTTCCACGTTCTGCTGCTCTGGTTGTGCTGGCAGCTGATTAGATTGTGACAACCCAGATTTAGGGTGGGTCTGCCTTTCCCAGTTCACTGACTCAAATGTTAATCTCCTTTGGCAACTCCTTCACAGACACACCCAGGAACAATACTTTGCATCCTTCAATCCAATCAAATTGATACTCAATACTGAATATTAAGCATTACATTCAGCCTCTGAGATCTTGTTTATTCATTGATAAAATGAGAGTAATGATATCTTCCTCTCAAAGGAGATTGTAGATAGAGAGCTGAACCTATTAATCAGTCAATAAACTTTACTTTGCTTCCCCTCTTTCCGAATCGGAGTTATATTTTTCTTACTTTTCAGCATATGTATTAAGTTTGCATAAAACAATTAAGAGAAATGATGTGTGTTGATCATTTTGGTAAGTGGTAAAAGTGGTAAAAGTGGAGTTGTGTGTGGCTTCCTCTGAAAGGCTCATTAGAATTGAATCATAGCACATCTGCATGCATTTGTAGAGATCGACCTCCATGCAAGACCTGTGAATGAACAACAGGTGACTGGTGTGAAAAATCAGTGCAAGACAGAGTCGTCTTTGTAATGATCACTTTTGCTTGACAATCTTGAAACAGAAATGAGGCCCAAGAGAAAATGGGAACTTGCGTGTTAGTTCCTCACTCATAGGAGAGCCTCATAATTGATTTTATTTTGCACTACAGTGCATAATCCCAGCATCAGGGAAGCTCATCGTGGCCATTTAATGGAGCTTCTTTTTAAAAAAGCACAGAATCCAAATGAACTCTGGAGCTACTTAGAGCCTGTTGGTGTTTTGCAAGCTGTAGTTGTTGATGTATTTCCATTGGCCAGCAAGATTTCCTGGCATATGTTGTCCAAGAGTTTTGAATAACTAGCATCACTCTGTCACCCCTCATGGCCCTCGAAGATGTTATCACCACGAGGCCTTCCTACCACCCACTTTGTGTTCTCTCTTTCTTGAGGCTGTAAAGCAGTTTTTCTGGACATTTCTGAGGGTGACCTTGAGGAAACACCCCACCTTCTTTTTATCTTATTTCTTCATTTACAAAATGCACATAATTGATAGTACCTAGGGTTGTTGTAAGGATAGAATGAGATCACCTTTTATTTAATTTTTAATTTTTGTGGGTACATAGTAAGTGCATATATTTATGGGTTCCAAGAGATATTTTGATACAGACATGCAATGCATAATAATCACATCAGGGTAAATGGGGTATCTATCCCCTCAAGCATTGATCTTTTGTGTTTTCAACAACCCAGTTAGACTTTTTAATCATTTAAAAATGAACAATTCAATTATTTTTTACTATTGTCAAGATTATCTTTAAGTTCTTTTCACAAGGTCTGCACATAGTAAGCCCTCAATAACTACTTTCTTCTCTCCCACTCCATACTTCCACGTCTTCCTTTTTCTCTTCCTCCTCCTCTTTTTCTTCCTTTCCTCTCCTTATCTTTCTCTTTCCTCTCCTTTTGTTTGTCTCCCTCTGCTTCCTCCCTCTCCCCCTTCCTTTTCTTCCTAGTTATTGTTTGCTATTAAAGAGAGTTCAGTCAATATCACGCTATATTAAACCTCTTTGTGGTTCGTTCTAATATTCGCTGTTCTAAATATGACATGTTTCAGTCACAGTCTCAACGAGAAGCAGGTGACATAGTTGAATTGGATATACTGAAGAGTCTTTAATAAAGGAACCATTCATAAAGGTTTGGGAAGGGAGTAGGGAACTCACAAGGCATATAGTGAAACTCTGTGCCTAGTAGCAGTAGATGTCAGTGGTATCCCCTAGGTCTTGAAGAGGCACTGGGAGTGTATCTGTTTAGTTTTTTTGTTTGTTTGTTTTTTGTTTTTTGTTTTTTTTTTTTTGAGATGGAGTCTCGCTCTGTCGCCCAGGCTGGAGTGCGGTGGCGCGATCTCAGCTCACTGCAAGCTCCGCCTCCCGGGTTCAAGCCATTCTCCTGCCTTAGCTTCCGGAGTAGCTGGGACTACAGGTGCCCACCATGACACCCGGCTAAGTTTTTGTATTTTTAGTAGAGACAGGGTTTCACCGTGTTAGCCAGGATGCTGTCAATCTCCTGACCCCATGATCTCCCCGCCTTGGCCTCCCAAAGTGCTGGGATTACAGGCCTGAGCCACCACGCCTGGCTGCATCTGTTGACTTTTGCAGTCATAACCAACAACCTCGATATTTCAGTGGCTTATGATAACAAACATCATTTCTCATGCATGTTGCATGAGGGCTGTAGTTTGGCTGTGGTTCTGCTGGACTCTGCTGGGCTTGGCTGGGTCCGACATGCCTTCTCATTTGAGAGCGCAGGCTCACAGTGGTCTCACGTTGGGACATGCTCTTCTCATGATAGAGGTCAGAAGCACCAGGGGCAGAGCCACACCATGCAAGAGCACATTGAAGCTTCTTGCTCCCGTGAGATAGATGTCACGCCCGCTAACATTCCATGGACTAACGCAAATCAAATGGCCAAGCCACAATAAGTGGGGTGGGCCCTGAGAGAAAGAATCAGTATTGTGAGCAAATGTACACTCTATCACTGGGACAGAGTGGTTACTGGAACTTGGAGGCAGAGAGCATTGTGAGAAGGCGGCCTGACAGAAGCTGAGACCTTGCCAAGGCTGCAGCCAACCGTGGAGCATGCAGAAAGGATCTGGGGGAACGAACAGCTCAAACCCATCTCTTCCCTTTCGCCAGTCTCTGGTCATTCCCCGTTGTGGCTGTACCCATCTGAAAGCCAAAGGCAAGAGACTTTGTTCTGTGGCTCTTAAAGGCCAGCTTCCTGGGACAGAGAACAGGGTGGGTGGCAAAGGGCAGAGGGTGAATCTGGAGAGGCACATGAGATGATTTGATCATAATCGAATTCATAAGAAAGACATTAAAGTTGCAGAAAATGTGGCACAAAACATTTCTTAAAAACCAGCAGCTCCTCATTTCTAAATGACTTAGGAGGAATTCCAGGCTGACTGTTCGTAAAGTGAAAATGGGGGAAAAATTAAGATGGCAATAAATCTTCCATGAGTTTGTGCTATAAATCTAGGGGAAAACCCTTTTGGGTGACATAAGGCATAACCTTTAACAGCTAATAGTCTTGAAACTGTTTGCATCTGACCGTTCTGAGTCCCTAAGTGGTTTCCATTCCAACATTGTCATTTATCTTGTGATATTTACTTTATTGTGGTAAGTCGCAATGTTTTTTTTTTTTCTTCTCAGAGAGTCTGTGATAAAATAAACTCACCAGAGTAAGATGAATGCCAACTTATTAAAAAGCCTCTCTTAGAAGGGAATGGAGCTATGCTGGCCCGGTAAGAGGTGAGAGACTTTTGCCTCCTTCAGCCTCAATCTACAGGAGACGGTCACCTATGCATTTATGAGCAATTACAGCAAAGTTCATATAAGATCTCTAAATTTTGGGCTGGGCGCAGTGGCTTACATCTGTAATCCAGCACTTTGGGAGGCCAAGGTGGGTGGATCACCTGAGGTCAGGAGTTCAAGGCCAGCCTTGCCAAGATGGTGAAACCTCATCTCTACTAAAAATACAAAAAAAAAAATTAGCTGGATGTGGTGGTGCACACTTGTATTCCCAATACTGGGGAGGCTGAGGCAAGAGAATCGCTTGAACCTGGGAGACAGTGGATGCAGTGAGTGGAGATCGTGCCACTGTACTCCAGCCTGGGTGACAGAGTGAGACTCCATCTCAAAAAAAAAAAAAAAAAAAAAAAAAAAAAAAAACCCTCTAAATTCAGAAAGACTTTTGAGAAAAGAATGAAAGAGGGCATAAGATCTCTCTAATGTCTTGCATCTTCCTGTTGGCCTTTCTTTCCTCGAATTCTTTCCTAATTCTTCTAAAACATGGTCCCCTCATGTTTTCCTGATTGTCCAGACACCCTAGACTCTAGGACCCTCAATTCTGCCTCAGGTCAGCTTTCTGTAGCAGGAGGGGAATGTACAGGATCTTCTCTCTGTAGTCTCACCTCTGCCTAATGGAGTTGAATAATTTTCCATCCTTTCTGTTGATCTCGCCCTTCCCTCCCTCCCTCCCTCCCTCCCTTCCTTCCTTCCCCTCCCTCCCTCTCTCTTTCTCTCTCTCTCTTTCTTTCTTTCTCTCTCTCTCTCTTTGTTTCTTCAGAGTTTAACTTTTGTTGTCCAGACTGGAGTGCAATGGCGGGATCTTGGCTCAATGCAACCTCTGCCTCCTGGGTTCAAGCAATTCTCCTGCCTCGGCCTCCTGAGTAGCTGGGATTACAGGTGCCCACCATTAAGCCCGGCTAATTTTTTGTATTTTTAGTAGAGACAGGGTTTCACCATATTGGCCAGGCTGATCTAGAACTCCTGACCTCAGGTGATCCTCCTGCCTTGGCTTCCCAAAGTGCTGGAATTACAGGCATGGGCCACTGTGCTCAGCCTCTCACCCTCCATTTCTTAGCTTCATCCCGATACAAAAGAAAGTGCCTCCAATCTGGGTAGACAGAGGCTGAAGCCTTGATGGAACCTATTCCCTGTCCTCTCTCTGCCTGCTTCCTAAGTCTCCTACTTCAAGTCTTTTGCCTACAGTGCAGTAACCATCCCTGACAGTCCCTATTACAGGTTGGTCAGCCTCATCTATTTGACTGCTTGCGTCAGAAGCCTGGGGTCTGCTGTTCAGATCTTACCATTTATGTTCGAGTGGGAGAAAGGCCAACTCCATGCACCTCTGCAGATCATGTAAGTCGTCTGCATCATGGGAGTGCCAGGGGCTTGTGCTGCCTGTTAAATGATAATGTTTTTCTTATTATTTGGTGTTTGTTCCTTCTGTGACTGCTTCCTTAGTAACTCTGGAGGAGAGGAGGACCTTGAGAGTGAGATTTGAGCACGAACTTCATCTGAAACCTAAGCCCCTTCCTTAGGTTTAATATCATCCTCTTTTTCCATTCCTGCACAACTGCAGCTGAGGGGACCCCAAACCTCACTCCTCACTGAGGACTCAGTGTTCGAAGAACAGGGTTTCAGTTCCAGCCTTGCCATTAATTCGACTCTAATTACAGAGGAGACTTGGGTGCATCATTTGATGACCCTCCATATCTGTTTTTCTATTACCCAACAGGGTTTAGTTGCAGCCAACAGAAACAACTCTAGCAATTTTTAATCAGGAAGAGAGTTAAGCACTCATAAAATCCTGGGAAGGCTGGAGGAGTGGGCTGGGTGTTCCAGAGTGACTTCCAGAACAGTGCCACAGCGTCAGCCCACTTGGGGAGCTGCCGCCACTGCCACAATCCTGAAGCGGGAAAATCAGGAAGCAGACATGGCAAATGGTACATCCAGGAATACAACGGCCCCGCTGTGATCCATGGCTGGGGGGAAGGCCACGGCAGCCATTGCCTCCAGAAGAGTGCTGCAGCTGCCAGGTCCACTTTCGCAGAACACAGACCTCCTACTCCACCATGAAATCAGCAACTGGACACTGGGACCTCTGCCACTGTTACTGCAGGAAAACCCAGGGCCCCTGTGAACCAGCCGGTCAACAGCAGCGTTGGACGGACCCAAGTAGAGACTTTTACCTTCATCACACTTTCTGAATCTCATGCAATTGTTTATGTTTGGCCAACCTAAATCCTATTTGAATTTTAACTGCAAGAGATGATGGGAAATACCACTTTAAGTTTCTCAGTCTTTCAGTTTGGGAAGGCGCACTAGGGTAATGGACATGCTAGGATAGTGGGGTTTTGGCCTGCAACCAATAAACATACATTTAAATAAAAGCCAGATTGTCTGTGTGTGTATGTGTGTGTGTGCATGCACATGTATGCATGGTTTTACGATGTTTTACAAAACTATATTAACTCTACTAGTGTAATGCACTGTTCTGTTCCGTTCCATTCCATTCCATTCCATTCCGTTCCATTCCATTCCGTTCCGTTCCATTCCATTCCATTCCATTCCATTCCATTCCATTCCATTCCATTCCATTCCATTCTATTCCATTCCATTCTATTCTATTCTATTCTATTCTATTCTATTCTATCCTTTCATCCATTCATTGGGTTCCATTCTGTCCCATTCCATTCTATTTCATGTTTTTAAAAAGCTAGTTGCGATAATAGACTTTTAAGATCTCCTAAGTGTTTGTAACTTCAAGTTTGACAAACCCTGTATTAGAAGAAGGGTGGTTTCTGGGCCCCAGTGCACCATATTCATTGTACATGGGCCACCCTGGAAAGGTTTTCGTACACTGCAGAGGTTTAGCTCTGTAAGAAGGCACTGACCTGGATCCTATTTCCCAGAGAACCTCCCCGCTTCTCACAAATTGCTGTGATAATTTAATATGACAAATTACTGGATGAGTTAATTAGTTGGTCTGCCATTCTTCTCAAGCAGCATATAGGAGTTTTCACAGGTCTCCTCCCATTAATTCCTTACTCCAATTCAGTGTTCTTAACTGTGGGGCTTAATGGAAGTGGAAGGGCATTTCTGATCCTGTTGATCTCATTCTGGAAGAGTTCACCTATGATGTCTGTGTTGAGGACTCTTCTTCCTCGCCACCAGGTTGTTGCTGAAGCTGGGCTCCTATGTGGATCTCTGATACCTGCAATTGGAAGAGGTTTTAGTTGTGAATCTTCTTATGACATGGGCCTTCTCACTCTACCAGCAAATGCTCAGGCCACACATGTAATAATCCAGCCCTCATGGTGTTTCCTAGTGAGGGGCAAACTGCCTTCAGCATCACTAACCTGGCTTTGGAGATATATGTATATATGTGTGTGTGTGCGTGTATGTGTATATATATATGTGAATATATGTATATATGTATGTGTATATATTTTATTTTTATATATATTAGATATATATTTTATATATATTATATACATATATAGAGAGAGGTCATAATTCCCATATCTGTACTGTTCTAAATCGAAATATCTCTTTATTATAAGATTTATTTCTCTTCATCTGCTGATTCACACATTAAACAAACTTTCCCTCCTGCTTATTCATGATTTCTAGATATAATATTTAAAATTAGTAACTAATCTTTCCCTCCACCTAGTAAATTCCTATTCATCCCTCAAAACACCAATTCAAATTTCACGTCTTCTGTAAAGCTCTGATTCTCCTGGGCATAGCTGACCCCTCCTGCCGGCATCAGTAACTGCGCATCTTCACTGTAGTTCTTATTGCATCTTATAATATTGTTCTGTCCTCCTCTTACATTGATTATCTTGAATACAGAACTATGTGATTTTCACCTTCGTATCTTCAATGTTTGGTCCTCAAATAAATGTTGAATAAGCGAACACACAAGTAACTATTTTGATAGTCTCTGTTTTCAAACCTGTTTGAATTTTGTTAGAATAATTTATTTCTGCATATAGCATTACAAATGTTCAATAGAACACAACTAGGCTTTTTAATGGAAAGACAGTTTTTTGAAATCCCATAATTCAATACGTTTAAAAGAGAAAAGGAGGAGATGCAAAGAGGAAGAAGACAGATGCTTCTTCCCTGGAAACCTCCTGCTAGCAGTGGAGACCACAAATAACCATAGCTTTTATCGAGCTTTTATCATGAACAAGACTCTAGACTGGATGCTTTTCAGGCTTTACTTTGCATCCTGATGATAGCCCGTCCTGGTAGGCATTACTGTCTTCCTTTGGCAGGTGAAAAACATGAGCACCAGGGAATCTGAGTGCCAATGGCATCACACTTCCTGGCGAAAGTGGTAGGGAGGCATGGTCTACTTTTAAAATCACAGATCTACCTCAACTCATGCCACAATGTTCACTCTTGACTCTCAGAGAAAGCATTTAAAAAATGTGTCTGAATCATCAGCCTGGCTAGCATGGTGAAACCCCATCTCTATTAAAAATACAAAAATTATCAGGGCATAGTGGCAGGCACCTGTAATCCCTGCTACTCCGGAGGCTGAGGCATGAGAATCGCTTGAACCAGGGAGGCGGAGGTTGCAGTAAGTTGAGATTGTGCCATTGCACTACAGCCGGGGTGACAGAGGGAGACTCTGTCTCACACACACACACACACACACACACACACATACACACACAAATGTCTGAATTGTAACAGCATAAAATAATATGGGGCTTGAGTTAGCTGTATAGGTAGTACAGTGTAAGTCATGTGTGTATTTATTTTTAGATAGGGTTAAATACTGCCAATTTTTTGTTTTTATTTTTGGTTATGATAAAAATTTGAGGCATATGCACACTATGACCCCATGGATGGTGAGAGACCATCCTCTCCATGCCTGATTCATTCCCCTGCTGTGCGAGCCCTCTGTCTTCACTCCCGCCAGGTTTGTTTTTCCTGTTAGTCTCTGATGGAAACAACTAATTACCTCCTCATATTCAGCTCCACTTCTTTCTTGACCATAAGGACCCTGATTTTCAGCTGAGCAGATTGCCACCAGCTAACAGACTACATTCTCCAGCCTTCCTTGTAGATGGGTAAAGCTACCTGACCATGTTTTGGCCAATAAGATAAAGTGGAAGTGTTGGTGAAAAATGTAGGAAATGTGTTGAAAGGAAGAAAGGAGATCCCTTCTTCTGTCCTCCATCCTGTGGTTTGGAACATGGATGTGATGGCTGGAGCTCTAGCAGTCATTTTGAATCAAAAGATAGTGGAGTGGAAAGGCGAATGGAATCTAGGTCCTTGTTGACTTTGTGGAGCCACTCTCTCAGCTCTGAACTGTCTACCTCTGGACTTTTTTTTGTGTGTGAGAGAATAATATAGAATGTCTTTAAGCCATTGTTAATTTGAGTTTCCTTCACAGGTAGCCATATCTAATCTTAACTGACGTAACTTCTCACTAGCTCACCAACGATTTGAACTTTCATGTGTCAGACTCCAAGGTGCTTGTTAAGTCCATGTGCCAAGTGCCTTGAGGAAGGTCTGACACAGAGTTTAGGGGGCTTGGAAGAGAGCACACTATCTCCTTCTGATGTGGTAGGATCTCTTCAAGCTGGCTAGTATACCTTGCCTCTGGTTTCAAGGTGAGCTCTTGGCCTTGAGGCTCTAATACTGCAACTTGGACTATAAAAGGTGTGTTCCACTCACTTGATTCTCTGTGGGGGCCTAGCCAGGGATGCCCTTACTCTACTTGCTGAGTTTTTGGCTACCTCACAGCTTTCTCTTGTCCAAGAGCTGCGTATGGAAATGTAACTCCTCACCTGAGACTCAGTAAGTAGGCCAACTGTGCTGAGAGACACTGTCTCCTAGGATGCTGGTAACCTGTGGTCATAAATGGCAGAATGGGAGCTATAGAATCCAAGAGGTTGAAGCTGGAAGAGACTTTATAGATGCCTAATCCTGCTAATTCATTCGGCAGATGAGGAAATGAGGTTTTTAGAAGTAGCTTGACATGACTAGAAAGGGATGAAGCTGTGACAATTTTTCAGTTTGTTTTTCTTTCCCAAACATGGTACCTGATCCTGCCTGGCGTATTAGTCCAGATTTCCCAAGAAGCAGATGCCAAGACAGGATTAAATGTGCAAGAATTTTCTTAGGGGAAAGGCCTGTGTTAGAAAAAATGGAGAGGGAGGTGGAACATCTTGGGGCAGTTGACAGACGATGAAACAAAGTTTGCCCACAGGTGAAGGAGAGGGGAGGAAAGTCAGGTGGAAGCATCCTACGTAGTTGTGCAGCCTAAGGAAGGCCCATTAAGGCTGCTGGTGAGTGTCGGAACCACAGTTAGCTATCATAGGAGTTTGGTGTCTCCAAGAAATAGATTGGCCATGGTATTCCTGATACCAGAACAGCCCATGAGAAGCATGGTCTCAACACAAATGCAGCCGTGGATTTCAGAGTTGAGTCACTTGGTCAATTACACTTCCCAGTTAGGGGTTGCATTTTTGGTGGTTGCCACACCTGGCATTGTTCCTCTGCCAACCTTTTTATGCCCTGGAATATACTTTATAATTGTATGCATCTAATTTAGTGTTTTGATAGACTAGTAGGCAGACAGGTACATGAGGAGTTTCTTAGTTATGAATGGTTACTTAGGCTACCTTTTTGTGTGAGGCCTGACATGGCTGAATCTTCCATTTCTTGAGACTTATGTGGATTTTGAGCCATGCAGTTGAAGCAATCAAGATGCCCTTTGATGGGGGAGAAGTCCACTCATTGAACTTCATAGATATGGACCCAAATGTGAACCACGAAATGAAAGCAATTATGCATTACCTGTCTTTTCCACATTTGCTTGGGTGCAAGTAAACAGAATTGCTGGTTAAACTCACTGACATTTTCTAGAAATTGTATTCAGACCTTATGCAAATTCTAACTACAAGCATGTAGCTAACTTTTGACAAAGATTATTTGCTTGACCACACTTTAGTCAGGCTCCTGAGCTTCTGCTAGGTCCATCTGTGGGCTTCCTTATAAAATCCAGTTTTAGCAAGAACTCTGCTAAATCCATTTAACAAGAGCATCCATCCTCTTGATATCTGCTCACTTTTGATATCTGATCAGATTTTCCATCCTCCACCTTCCCACAGGTAATGAAGGATCACCTTGGCCTGTCTTCAGAAAGAATTCTGGTAGGTCAGTTTAGCCAGAATCTTTCTTACTGCAATGTTATCGCAGTAATTTTCCACCTACTGAAAAACTGGATGCTCTTTGGCTATGAACTTCCACTTGCCCATGCTGTGTTCAGAGTTGAGCTCAATCTCTCTCTCCCGCTGCAGAATCCTGTTGTATTGGTTCCAATACCTATTACAATGGTCCTGAATAAAGTCTGCCTT